TTACACGGTTTACACAAATGAAGGCGATTTTCATTTGAACGCTCATATATATAGGGGTGGGTTCAAATAAAAACCACTCAATTTGTAAAAACCGTGAAAACTTCATTCAATCAATCATAATTTTTCATTTTGTTCATTTTTTTGTAATTATGAGAGGTTGATTAACCATTTTTATTGTGGAGGGTGTTAATCATGGATGTTATCATATTCATTATTTTAATTTTAAAGAAATACATGAAACAATTTTATTAAAATTTCATTAAGTAGTATATGAAATAATTTCATAACCACATATGAAACAACTTCATCAAAAAAAAGTATTATATGAAACAATTTCACAAAATTAACAATTTAATGAAAAAAATTTATAAGATTAATGATGGATGAGAGTAGTTTTTACGGTTTTTACAAATTAAAGTGATTTTTATTTGAGCGCTCCTCTATATATATATATATATATATATATATGTGTGTGTGTGTGTTTTGCTTGGAATATATACTTTGGTTAGCTTGTGCTTGTATGGTTGTACCAGTGGGGCTTCCTTGTCTAGATTTAGAGAAACGATAAGCACGAACTTACTACACTTTTGCCTGTGAACTTCATTCTTAATTACTTCTATACATCAACATAATATTCATCAATCGAAACCGGCCCCATAAATGTCTTTTTAACCAATCCTATCATCTCTTAAAATGTATTTTGGATTATATGTTTTTATCAAGAATTTCTTTTCGCTTATCGCTACTATTAATTTTCTTGATTGTGGCTATCAAAAAGCTCTGAAATTTAGTGATTTAGAGCATAATAATCGACATGATATCAGGTGAGTCTCATGATCTGTAACTATAGGCTTTTGACATCGCTTCAAACCCATCCATTTTAATCTACAAGTTGAATTTGTTGTTCTAAATGAATCTGTGTATGACTTCCCAAAAGTTGTAGTTAGGAAATTGTCATAAAACACTCATGAAAAGATGGTGTAAGAAGACTTCTTGCACCCATTATTGTACATTGATTTTTTCTGGAACTTACTTTAATTCCAGGGCCGTTCCAAGGGAGGGCGGCACTAGTGCACGTCCAAGGCCCAAAATATCAAGGGTTCAAAATTTTTTCTTAAAATACAATAGTAGTTTAAAAGAAAAGAAACCAAAAAATTGTAGCACATAATAAGAGGCTAAAGAATTTAGTAGATAATAAGGGTCCAAAAATATATCAACTAATTACATTGGAGAAGAAAATTATAAAAGGTCATTCATTATATACTATTATTTATTGTCTCTCTAATTTTTTTTATCTCCAACAATGTCCAATGATATTAGTTATTGCTAACTCTATATGTTTGATTGTTTTCATTCTTCAACAATTCAACGTTAAGATCATGTGCTTGTTATTGTTATATATTTTTGTTGGATATTTTATCAATTTCTACTTCTATTGATTATTGCTATTTTATTATCTTGTTGTAATTGTTTTTATTGACTATTGTTATCTATTCTTACTTCTACATAAAATATTTTACTATTGTTTGACACTCAATCTATTGTTTTTATAATTTGTGACGTGTTAATCAATAAATTTTTTCTTAGCATGTTACACGTCGTGTTTTATGGTTTTGTGATTAATCAATAAAAATTTTCTACTAGATGTATTTAGTAATTTCTCTTATATATATCATGTTCCATAAACTTTTAATCTTAATATCTTATTTTAGTTTGAACAAAAAAAGAAAGGAAAATAGAATTTAAATATTTTCATCAATTGTTTGACTTATATATCTTTCATTGAGATTTCACCACACCACAAGATTCTATTTAAGTGCTCAAACAATCATTTGTTGAGCTTTCATATTATATGTTTAATTCATTATTTATTCTTATTGGATCTCAATAGATCATCTTTTCTTTCATATTCTTATTGATTATCATTTGTTTACTTATCTAGAAAACCTTGATAATCTTCTTTATTATTGATCTCTCATTGACCCTCACGATTACTTCATTCACACGAATTCTCTTTTTGTATTAAAATAACACATATTTCTTATTATGAACTAAAAAAATTCTTTCTTTTTACAAAGAAACTATCAACCATAGTTTCTATACAATTGGTTTCAAATTACCTAATAAGAAGCATATAAATTTAAGTACTCTCTATATATCTATAATAAAGATAAATAAGATTTCTTTCCTCGGTGAATTATTAACATTTCTTGTACTCAATTTTTACTAATGAAAAACATTTATTGAATTTTTTTTCGTACTTACCGAGAGTCACTACAAGAAAAGTGAGTTTTGACGATGCGTCTTTTAGCAATGACATGTTTCCGCCACAAGTTATAGCGACGACATGTTATATACTCTTTGTGATGATAAATGGACTTTTAACGATGACAAAAATCGTTGCAAAAAGCCTTATTTTTTACAATGGGCCTTGTTTTTATGTTTGCCCAGGACCAATAAAATGTCAGGAACGAGCTTGTTTAGTTAAATCCCATAACATCAAATTGGTATGTTTCATCTCTCTTCTTTGGAGCCATGTGGCATGAAAAAGCTTGGTTCCCTTATTTGATTGAGATCTCTCATTTCAAACCTTGTCTTTTTTTATTTATTTGGTTCCGTTTCTTTTTTCTGTTGAATTCATTCATAAAAAGGTCCTTTTTTTTTGCTGGTAAAGTACGAGTTTGACATAAAATTAGGACTCGTCAAGGTAAATGAGGACGATAACTGATGAAATGAGATGGGTTTTATAGGTTTGGGTAATTTCTAGTATGTGCTTTATCAGATTGATCGTGTCTTCCATCAATCGTGCACCCTCACGACCATGACCCACTTGATATCTTCGTTATCATGCAACTATATATGCTACTTAATTTTTCATCTAGTGCATTTCACTCGGTTGCTCATATTTCATTAAAGGTCCAGGTTCAAATCCAATGAAAAATAAGAATCCCCTTGTGGTCATGGAGGTTCAAATGTGGTGACTCCGGGCTATCTGCAAAGCAGGTGGTCGTCTGGGATTAGTCGGCTCGCATAGCGGGTTGGATATCCAAGTTAATTAAAAAAAAATCTATAGCAACGATAATTGAAGCATCACCGACAACAATAAAATAGATTTACCGTAGAGATTTTATCTCGGTATGAATTTCATTGCTCACGGTCGCAAGAGCAAAAATTAATCTTTCCAGCTTGAATAGAAAACCATAATTTCTCGATCACCTCTCTCTAATCTCCATACTCATTGCTTAGGGTAAAGATGGTTGTTTAATTAATTCCGACGATAAACCGCCTTGACCGGCGGCGGCCACCGGTTTCTCCCATGAAGGACCGAGTCCACCGTCTCTTTTTACCCAAAATTAATGTGTTTCTAGCCCCCACCACCATTTTAAATATAGGCCACGAACCCAACTTGGTGGTTAATTGGTCAATCAATGCATGTCTATGAATTCGAAGTCAATTTCTTTTATATTTAATGTGCATGAACAGCAAACTGTGGGTTCATATGTGTATTCCAAGAAACAACTGCAACTGCCATAAATGAATGATTTTGATATTTTTAAACAATAATCAGAGTAATCCAAAGTCAAATTAAATTATATTTTGTATAATACCAAGTGTATTTGTATTTAATTGTAAATTGAAAATTAAATTCTTTTAAATTTAACTTTTAGAGGTAAGTGTTGATCAGGATGAGAGGTCTGATTAAGGTAAGTGTTGAATAAGGGGTTGTTTGGCAGTTGCTGAATGATTAAGTGGTTAAAATGATTAAGAGACTCTCATGATATAGTGCAAAATGAAATATAATTGTTTGGTAATTGTTTACAATGAAATTAGGCGTTGAATGGTTAAGGGACACCCAAGATACAAAATCATTCAAAGGGTTTTTAGAACCATTAAGAGTGAAATCTTTTTTTTGCTAAACAAGATTCAGCTCTTAGCGATTCAGAAGTTGTCTCTTAATACAACTATTAAGAAGGTAAACAAACAACTCCTTAAATTTATTGTTTACCATCTTACATCTCCCTACTAAATCTTTGAGGTGCTTGATTCTAAAGTGTTCAAGGAAGATTTGACTTGTAACACGGGTGGTAGAGAGCGATATGAACCAGTAAACCCTTCACGCTACGACGCAAGTGGCATAAAAGTGGCGAACATAATGGTGGAAGATAAGAGAGAGTTATGATTCTTACAGTTTTTCTTGAAAAAAGGTTTCCGAAATTGCCTTGATTGTTTCTTTCGTCACCCTGGTCAGTGTAAGGGGTAAATTAGAGAATGTGCACCTTTTTTCTCCAGATAAATACACTTTTAACTATGTCTTTGATCAGGGAATTGTCAGAGGCATGCATGGTAAGTGGTCAGAGTTTCATGTTATTTTGGTAATCATCTCATCTTTTATAATAAAAACCTCATACAGATTAGAGATGGTAAAGAGGTAGCAAGAGACTAGTAAACTTTGGTTTTTATCAAATCATAAAATGTCAGAAGGCGTCCTTGAGGTAATCTCGTAGTTCCTACACGGTGGAGATGGTGGGGTCGGTCCATGAATTCATCCAGATGAATATTGTTAACCCTTTTATTATTATTTAAAAACAAATTATACCTACTTTTGCTAGCGAAAGTATATGATGGTCATTTAATAAGCCGTAAAATCGAATAAAAAACCAAATATTATTCCAAGTTTGTGTAGGAACTCATTTGATTCTTTGTTGAAGTCTTCTCCAGTTTTGACCAAGCATGTGATCAATTAGTCGAATATAGAATATGGTAATAATAAAATAAGAATAATTTATTATCATATTGACCGTTTTGTCATGAATTTGACCAATCAACTACATTAATCATACATATATTCATGTAAAATTCTATCAAACTAAAGGGTATCTATGTAATTTCGCGACCACGAAAGTCATATATATACACCAAAACCTCAACTCCTCCATGGTTTGCCTCACCAATTAGAATCTTGATTCTTTACAATTTCAGAAAACACAAATTCTAGCCGAATGACCACAAAAACTTATGCTTTCTATTCAAATAGTAAGTCTCAGCCACAGCGAGAGACATGTTTATGTTCTCCGACCAACCATCCGGGGTCGTTCAGGTGCAGCCGCCACCGGAACCTCCACAAGGTTCCTAGCCGACGGGTAGCTAGCCGTGGCTCATTGGAGCTGGCATTGGTTGCAAAATCTAACTCGGTGAAGGCGTTTATGCGATTGATGATAAAGCCGTCGAGCCATGATGTTCAAAGGAGGAGGAATTTCCAGCAAAAGCCCACTAGGTTTTGCTTGTTGAATGGCAATGGAATCGGACTCGCATTAGTTTCTTGATCATGGCATAGCTTTCTTTAACTAGTTGAAAATATATCTATTCATTTTTCATCGAATTCTTTTTTATTTTTCATTAACTTTGTAATTTGAATTATGGTGTATAAAGTAGTAAAAGGCGTTTATGGGCCTATACTTGTAAATAAGAACCATATATTAGATCATCTGTTATTTTATACTGTGAAAACATTGAGTATATGTGAAAGTACAGTTTTATTTTACAATGTGAAACAAAATATATGTATATATTGTCACATCATGAAACAACATGGCATTTCACATTCACTGATTCATAATTTGAGTCAAAACATATTAAGTGGCGGACCCATGATCTTTTGTCGAACGGATGCACCTTTAAGTTGATTGAAGGCCCGTAAAGTCATGGTTTGATCATGTGAGAAAATCAACACGATTTGACCTGGGGGAAAGTCATGGATTTCGTTGATTTGAGGAATAAAAATAGATGTTTGCAAATGGAATTGAACTTTTAAAGAATACGTCTTAGGCGTAAAATCCTATTTTTAGCCTAATTCCACCGTTTCAAGGGGTTTTTTTTTTCAATTTTTTTGTTGATTTCGGAGAGTTTGATAGATTTTCTCGGTTTTTCGGTTGATAACCCTTTTTTTTTATAATACCCATAGCACTCTTAGGGACAGTTTGTTTTTAATAAAAAAGCTCTTAATGTCCTCTTAAGTCTGAATCGGTCAGACATAAGAGGATTCAGTGTGTTTGTTTTTTGTTTTCAATTAAGAGCTTAAACTTTTAGGTCTGAAAATTTAAGTGGTTGAGAAACCTCTTATTACCTCTTATTCCAAATCGTCGTCTACCTACTCTGATCTCTTTGCGCTCGATTTCTCTGGATCAACTCTTCTGTCTCGATCTCTCAACTCTCAACTCTGTCAATTGTCGATCCATATCAACTCTCGATCTCTCATCTTCAAACTTCAGATTTCAGACGCAAAAAATAAACAGTCTAATTAATTCAGATTTCAGACTTCAACACCACCTCTTAAAAATCAGAAGTGAATTCAAACTTCAGACTTCAGCACCTCTTAAAAAACAAACGCCACCTTAATGTTTAGTTCATACATCTTCATAGCCAAAAAAAAAAGTCTACTTGAGATATTCAGTTGAGCAGGTAATTAGAACCCCCTACATCCTTCATATGTCCACCCCAGTACATAGTTATTAGTTCCTATGATTCTCGACCTTTTTATAGATATCAACTGATTATTCCCTGTACATATATATCTACAAATTAAGTCGTTGTCTCTAGCAGTCATTCATACATATGTAAATAAATACATGCATGCTCGCATGTATATTGTCTACATACATACACAATAAATATATGCATGCTTATATATTTATATATAGCCATATGTTTATTTGAGGAGTGCTCATGAAAAGTAGAGAAGTGATCCTAGCCCTTCCATTGAAAAACTACGGTCAGGATTTGAGGGGATAATTTTGCAACATTGGATAATTCGGTCGAATGCTAACAACTATGCAGAAGATAGAGGAGCAGTTTTCTAGCTTTTACAAATAGATGACAAATAATTGCATATGTGAACTCATGTGATTCACATGTCAACTATATGTGTATATGTGAACCTTTGTGATTCACATATGAACTATATTTCATATGTGAATCCGTGTGATTCATATATAAACTATTTAATTGATTAACATATGAACTGTATGTTCATATGTGAACTCATGTGATTCACATATGAACTATTTAATTGATTTACATATGAACTATATGCTCGTATTTGAACCCTTGTCATTCACATATAAACTATTTAACTGATTGACATATGAACCCATGTGATTCAGATATAAACTACTTAACTGATTCATATATGAACCCGATTATGATTCACATATGAACTATTTAAAGGATTCACGTATAAACCTGATCACGATTCATATATGAACTATTTTAAGTAATTCACGTATAAATTATTTGATTGATTCACATATAAATCTTAGATTCACATATAGCATTATAATTTTAGAATCAAAATCAACATATTGCTCAAGATCGTCTTTCGGATTGGGACTCACTGAAAAAATTCAAGATTTGATCGAAAAAGAATTAAGAAATTTAATCATTTTGATAATCTAAAATTGCGATATATGATCGAGAAAAAATTGAGAGAAATTTAAACGTCCAATGATGTCCTATAAACTTCTTATAAGTAGTCCTACAAAATAAGTCTTATAAAACAATCTATTAAGACATTTATAAATTGATAACGTTTTATAAACCTAATTTTATCATAGTAAACCCCTCTCTCTGTATATTTAGTTTGAGATGGAAAACTACGAAAAATAAAAATATAAGTATTAATTTATATATTTTTAACATATTATTAATGACAATTCGATCAAAGAAACAATTAGAAAGAAAAATAAAAACTATAATATAATATTTTTTTATTAATCAACCATTATATAGTAAATGACTCACTTTAATTTCTTAGCTTATTGATTTCGCTTTTTATACAAGGGTGGTATCTGATCGGTTTAAGTTTGTGCTTTAAAGGTTAAAAGTCTCTAAAAGTCTCATGTTCAAATCCAAGAAGAAATAAAAATCATTTTGTGGCCATGGAGGTTCAAATATAGTGACTCCAAACTACCCGTAAAGCAGCTGATTGTCCTGAAACTGGTCGGTTCATATAGCAGGTTGGATATCAAGTCAATTAAAAAACATTTTTTATTAAGAAAATTGTTTAAAAAGAAAAAAAAAAGGTGTTGTTCCAAGATAGTGGCCGAATGCTTTTGGTCAACTAAAATCAAGTTGCCATGAAAATACAGTTCTCGGTTGACTCATTCTACAACCTTCCTTCCAAAGTTTCTTTAATAAAATAAATTTCTTTTTATATCTATTAATTAAGAAAATTGTGTTTAAAAGTACTGATTGCTATTTTTAGAAATATATTTTCAAGATAGACATTTAAGTATAGTTTGTTTGCATTTTTACAACTAATTTAATCCAATTAACTTTGGCCAATCGATCCAATCTAATTCATAATTGGGTTAGGTTAAATCGATTCTAAATATTAGATATTACAATTGATTATTTATTACATTTGATTTGATTTCTCGAAAAAGTTAAACCAATTATCCGTATATTTCACTTAAATATCCATATAAATCCAATACAATGCATCTTTATTGATGTACGTGTATACATATATAACTGGATTCTAATTGGATTGAATTGGTTCATTTGTATTCGTTGTGTTCATGTGATATTGAACCAAAATGGATATGCACGACCTAGACTTGCGATTTTGGATAATCGGGCTAAATGTGCCAAATTCAAGAGTGAATAGCAGATAAGGTGTAGGGGCACGTTACATGTTCAGCTATGTCAAATTATTCAGTAGGCATGAAAATGAACCAAACGACCTATCCATTCCATGCTAGGCAGTCGACCTAGGTAGTCAGTCATGAATAACAGCTAAAACATGTTTTTTCTAGGTTATTAATTGTAGTTCTTCACCTAGTTTCTTCCTTATATGATTTTTGGTGCCAATGTTGAGATTTACATGTACATTCATCGATGTATCATCGTTAAGGTAAGATCTCATCATAATTCCTCTATTGATTATCAATATATAAAGGCATCTCACCTGTCCTTATGACGTTTGATTAGTCACTTGTTACATTATGACGTTTGATGAAATTTTGTACTGTATGGAGTATGGATACTACAAAGCTTCATATTGCCACTTTACACATGAAATATGTATGTATAAACAGCATAAACTACATTGCACCTCATCATGAAATACGGTGCAGTATTTTGCGGTTTGAGGTATCTACAATTTGGATTGTGGTTTTGAAAATGCTAAAACTGCATATGTAGTTTGGTTTGCAGTTTTGACTCTAAACCACACCATACCGCGAACACCCCTCTATTCCTATTACTGATATTGTTGATACCGATGGTGTTGCAGGTCCCAAGGCCTCTATACCTAACACTATTATGGAGTTGATTGTAATTGGGTGCCTTTCCACCATTCCACCTCCCACCTGTAGTTGGTTTGCCATCTCCCAACTATAATATTGAAACTATCGAGGTTAGGTTGAGTTTGAATCAAGATGGAGTCGTTGATGAAGTTTGTGGCCATGTTGAAGACTCTTGGAAGACTCTTAGGAACTTATCACAAATAGGACTTAAGTTAACAATCTAAAATGCATCCAATGTCGTTTTTGAAGATTTTTATAACTATGAAGACATGTAATAGTACTTTATGGACTTGAAGCCATGAATACAAAGATGCAATTATTGGAGAATAACCTAACTTGGTCTATGACTTCACATTAAGAATGAACTATGACATTGGTTGCAAATAGATTCTCAAGATCAAGAATGATTAGTGATACAAGGATAGACTGATAACCAATGAGTACCCACCGTAAGATCTCATATTGGTTGGAGAAGGGAACAATGGTTGCATTATAAATGGACTTTATACATCCTCTATCAAATGTGCTTTAAAACTGTGATTCTAAGTGTGAACAAAGAGGACAATATATGTTACGGTTGGTCTAAGATATTACAAATGGTATCAGAGTTGGGAACCAGACTGGTGTACTAGCAAGGACGTTGAGCTCCCAAGGGGATTGTGTATGATGAGATCTTTACCCATCGTTAGAAACATTTCCATTTGTATCTTATATGATTGGATTGAGATGTTAAACCCATAAAATAAAGGGATTGTGTATGATGAGACATTTACCCACCGGTTAGAAACATTTCCATTTGTTTCTTGTTGTTCTTTGGTGCTTCACAAGACTTAGATTTGTAGCAACTTATTGTGAAAACCACCTTCCTCCATGATCGCTTAGGGAAGAAGTGTGTATGGAACAACAGTAAGGTTTTGATGTGCCAAGAAAAGTTAGTCGAGTATGCAAGACAAATAAGACATTATATGGCTTGAAACATTCGTTACAACAATGGTACAAGAGGTTTCACTCATTAGTGG